TTGTTGCGATAACGTCGGGATTCGAGTCAAGACGCATCAGACTTCAGCCGGAAACGACCACGTCCAAGAGCTTCCTCTCTCGTTTAGCCTCCCAACGAATATTCGCGTTTCCGACCTTGCACTATTTTGGTTCATCCTCCACGAGAAGATTATGGCCTTGAAATGTAATGTAGATATTGACCAATGTCATTTCCCCAGTTATTCCGGTCGATCAAATATTGCTGACTCGCAATTTGATTGATTAGATATAATTTCTAATTACTTATCCTAGTATAAGATAATTCATAAAATTTCATACAAAAAAGTCTTAATAATAAATTTCTGTTAATTATCTAATATAAAAGTATTAATATAACAAATAAAAGTGATTTATCCTCTTAATTCTTTTTTATATTTTTCTTTTCATATTTTTCTTTTCATATTGATCAATCTCTTATAAAGAAGTTTCAACATTAGATCCTCCAGAACTGACGTGGATTTATTAGACTCAATTATATCCCTCCAGAGCTGACGATGGGTTTATTCATAATATAAGAATATAAGGTATAACATTGCGTATAATTAATGTTGATTGAATTTCTGATTGGCAGCAAATTTCTAATGATGAATTTATATAATTTTTTAAGATTTGAGACTAATTTCTACTTAGTTATAAAAGTTTGAACAACTATATATATATATATATCGACAGAATGTTATACCTGATATTTGTACATCTATTTTCTTCACTCAATTATATTCTTTATATCACATTTGCATATTTAAAAGATTGTTATTAAAATAAATTATTCATTCTTTTTTATACAAGTTATATTATTATTTTGGTTCCTATACAAATTAATTAATGCCTTTTAGTCAACATGATTATTGAGTGAGTCTCACAGATCCAGCATCAATAATTGTATTACAAATTTTGATATCAACTTCGAAAGGTTAAAAGCGCAAGTAACGAGTAAAAGCGAACGAATTATTATCTGCTGAAACGTTTGAGCATTGAGCGTGTAATTAAAAACACGAGAAAAACGTTATTTGGCTTTCAAGAGTCGGCGGGAGGGCCGCGCGTTCCCGAGAAGACACCCGTGTCATCGATTTCCGCTTTGGCCCAATAACCCCACCTCCCATTCGCGCCACCGCTGACTTCCGCTCAGAAAGCACGAAGCGTTCCCTTCCGCCCAGCATAGTTCGTCATGTGTACGTGACAATAGAATCGCGAGCGGGTTCATGCATAAATGCGACGTAACAATAAACACAGCGGTGCTGGCTAAGGGCACGGGAGATGAAGCGCGGGAGGGAAGTGACCCTTCAAAAGCCGTCATAGCCGGAGGATCAGAAACCGATATGAGATTCGGGCCGTACATGAATGATGTATCGCGCTGTACTATTTCTGTGTTGTTATACGAGAACGCAAATAAGAAACCGCAAAAACGCTCTATTCGAAATGTGCGTTGTACATTGATGTACATTCTCAAACTTGCCGAATATACACCACAGAAAGAAAATTTATTATAAATTGTGACTTAATTCTAATTTCAATTACAACGTATACAATATAAAAGTGTTTCATGTAATTTATGGTTTTCATTTAATTTATTATGTACGAACAAAATTTATATGAATTTAACATGAAAATGAGAAAGTAAAATCGCAAATAATAAAACGGCAGCATAGTTACTATTTTATATATATAATGCTTATCAAATGAGTTATGCAAGAACTTATGGAAAAAAAGACAGAGTAAAAAAATTAAAAAAAAAAGAAAAGTGACGATAACTTGTCATCTTAATGATTGTAATTAATAAAAAATATAAAAATTATGAATTTTGTAAGACAAATAAAATCCTATAATTTGCAATTAATCAGTACATGTAAATTTTATATCGTATGTCTGCATGTGGATTTCGTACTCCTATCTTTCAACCAGCTTATATAAATCCAAGAGGGTAAAACGTTAAAGACGATATGCGACAGATGGTTTCGAAGAAAGTGTAGTAATAGTTTATAAGGCGAGTTGTTTCATCGCGCGTGCAATCAGGATAATGCTTATACGAGAATTTGCCTCTTTCGTTCTTTCATTTTTTATTTCGTCCCTTCAGTTTCTTTTAGAGTCAAAGATATTTCGACTTACATCTCAAAATAGAAATGTGTATATTATTTTTTCATGTCTTGCTTTTCGCATAAGATATTAAGACTTTTACAGAATGACTCAAGCTACACGACAAAAAATAGAGGCATATGGCATTTGATAAAATATGTTTTGTACGAGTATAATATAAACATGAGTTGTAATTTAATTAAACGTATTTAATAAAAAATGTTTAGCCTTAATTTTTATTAAAAATTCGTTTTCAAATTGAGATAATATATTTATCGTTAAATTATAAAAATAAAGTTTCATGTATGTGTATACATATTTTTAAATATTCAATAAAGAAGAGAAAGTATATAAAATGTGATAAAAAAAAAATATTTTGTCAATAACTGCACACTATTAAAAAATTTAATTAACACGATCTAACAAGTAAAAAAAATAGTGAATGTGCTTTTAAAACATTCTTGAACTAAATTAAAAGTCGTGTGTCGGTTCGCTACTCTGATTATTTCAATAGCAATCAAGATCAAACGAAGTGTAACGCACTACAGTATTTTTGAATGGAAACCTATGCATACTTCCATTCTCTTTATCGAGGTCGCTACAAGAGAGGCGAGGCCTCGTTTACAGAGTAAGTACGGCCCGTCTGCCGGATTAGATACTCGTAAACTCTTACAGGTGACAGGAAGATGAGGGACGCGAGGGGTGGAAAGGGGTGGCACTCAGGTCTGTGAAGGAGATGCGAAAGGAAGGAGGCGAAGGGGTTGACGGCACGCGGGGACTGAGGTTGCCTCGAGTGGCGAAACGGCTGAAAGTTCCTTTCATGTAAAGTAATTAACTACCGGCAACCGTTGACAAACACCTTACCCTCGTTCGCGGGCCTTCTGGCCTCGAGTGTCCTGGCGTCGTTTTCCTAGCATGAATCCACCGTCATCCCCTTTCAAGAGAGAAAATTTTTGTATTTTTCATCAGCCCTCCGACCTTTCGTTTTCCTCGCTGCTCTGGTCGCTAACTTATCTGGCTTTATAGTCTGCGTTCCTTTTCGTTCTTGAGGCTTCTCCTTCTATATTAAGCTTCTATCATCTTTGATCCTCTTCGGCTTTTGCGCAAACCACTGGCCGAGGAAAATCGACCTCACCTTTTTATTTTATGAGGTCCTTTTATTATCATATATTCTCAACAAGAAACTCGTACCTCAAAGCGTTATAAAAATTGTATGCACGTGCAATTTTTCATCATAACGTACACAGAGATTAGTCCCTTGCATATTTAAATACTAGCCAGAACAAGAAGAAGAAGAACTGTAATTTGAATTGCAAATACTTAAATTAATAAAGGTTTTAGCAAGATATATATCCAACACTTTTATATAAAAATAACATAGCTATATATTTTATTGTTCAAATGTAAAAACATAGCTATATACCGAGATATTTGAGTACCTTTAAAACAATTACTATTCGGAACTTAGCTAGACTATAAGTCTACTTATAATCTTAGTAGTTTTATCCATTTTCACCTAGAGAATTTACCTTCAGCTACAAACTTTCACATCTCCCAAGATATTCAGGCTTTTCTGATCTATTCTCAAGAGATACGAGGCAGTATTTTTAATCAGTATACGATGAGCGCCTCCATTTGCCCTTCCCTTTCTTAACTTTATTGTTCAGTTACCTTGCCTTCCACCACGCTGTTGTCTACTCCTTTCCGGTCTTCCACTACTTCGTCATCGGTGTCCCATCGGGCCAATAAGCGTCGAAGTTTCTACGTTAAGTGGATAACGGGCTTGACAAATAATTATGAACTTCGTACAACGTCGCCAACGTCATTTCAATTAGTTAGAGATTTACAAATTATATAAAGAAATTATATAAAGAAATTGATAAATTAATAAAAAATACGTATAAAATATTATTATTTAATAATATAAAAATATACAAAAGTATTTAATATGATCGATTATAAAATTTGATGTAACCATTTTCTCTTCAGTTTAAAATAACTATTCAGTTTAAGATAACTATTACTGCAACTATACTATATCACATCTATATATATAATTCTATATATATAAACTTAAAAAAAATAATCATTTCAAATGCATAATCAATATTATAATGCACTTTTTCAGAATAAATAGAATAAAATGTTAACGCTATAAATGATATACATTACAAGAAATTCAGTTCAATTCCAATTATATCATTTATAATACATTTGTATGTTTCCTAATAAATTGTATTATCATACAAGAAGAAAAGAGCAACTAATTTTGCTGAATCATGATAGTCATTATTATTGACTTCTTTTTTAAAGCCTTGATTCACAATGTCGTTTGCTCCGAAGTCCATAATATTAGAATCTCAGACGCAGAAAGAATTAACAAATTACATTTGAATAATTCAGCCAATTGATGCAACGGTCAATTTTTTCTCCGAGAATAAATCGGAGTGATTTCTAAAAATCGTGGATACTTAATCAATATAAAGATGTATATTGCCAGTTATAATACATATAAATACTTATAAGAACTAACATTGCCTCTAGGTATAGAAAAAGTGTATTAATAATAATAGAAACTAATAACATAATTTACATACAATTCTCAACAATTTACATACAAAGTATTCAATATTTATATTATTTTCATCAGAAAACACAGTCATAGGAAATCTATAAAAAAATTAGAAACATAAGAAGGAATATTAATCAATAATGCTGTAATAAATTTTTATATACCTTTCTGTTTAAGCTAATAATAGATTTAGGTGAAAAAAGTATACAAAAAGAATAGAGAAAATTCCCTCCAAGATAATCAGCACGATATCTCAGAAGATATATCCTATTAGAGTAAATTAGTATTAGATTAATAAAATCTAATAACAAATTCATTAATTAATAATGCTTCGTAAATTAGAATAATTCTGAACGATTCCTAAATAACAGCCATTTTTAACGATGATCTATCTTCGCCACCAGCTTTTTTCCATGATAAAGCGAACTATCAAAGACAGGGCCATGAGGAAGATGATGACCGCTGCTGCCACGAGAATAACGCCACATGCTGTTAAAAATGAATTATCTTAGATTTCTAGATGTATGTCATAATAATTTTTAATATAATAACCGATATTATAAAAAAATCTATTTGATTAAATAATCTTAAATTTTATCTTGTCTGTTATTGATAATATAATTAATATAATTAAATATTCACAATTATAATAATATAATTAAATATTCACAATTATAATAATATAATTAAATATTCACAATTATTCACCTA